CTCGCTTACTGTTCAACAAAATTTCACGGCCTGGACGGCCCCGCACCCGCCCCCCCCCCTAAACAGCGTGGCCGGACACCAACCATGAACGCACGCGACCAAAAATCCTGCATATTCTAATGATAAAGATGGCTCCAAAATTTATTGCTCTTTAGAATTGCCAAACTTTTAACAGTTTCCACACATTCATATACATGTATAGTTTATATTGTGCGTGTATGCACTCGCTGTGGGTTTTTCCATGCCTGCATTCTCATTACGAGCCGCCCAGGCTACGCCTGAACATTTAAGCAGAGGAGCTGTTATTTATTAGTTTTTGATAACTATACACCCTGTATTAAATTTAAATGCTAGTTTTAACATAGACATTAAAATTTGCAGGCTATTCTGAGAATTGACATTGTCGAGTGATCGCTGTGTATGCGTGCTTGCCCTATGAAAAGTGCCAAACGGGTACATAGCCGTAGTATCGAGCTAGTAGTCGCGTCGTGTAGACGAGCCTTTTTGCCTTTATTTCTCTTATCCTCATGTTTATGATAGGAGGTAATCTACAGTTAGGCTGGAAACGTTTTCGTTGTCTATGAAGTCTTTGTGCGTGTGTGTTAATTTTACGGTGAGGCTGACTTGTAACTCTCTGTAAAACCCTAGCCAATCTTACCCTATTCCTGCTAACAAAAATAAAGATTAAGGTTATGGCCTAGAAATTAAACCGTTTTTTTATTATTAATAATATTATTAATTACGAGCTACATGGTGCGGCCAGGTAACATGCTGTCAATTTCAAAGCAAGGAGTTGTACATAAAAAGCATCTTTAATTGATTTATACTATCATTCTTAATCCGTATTAGTATTAAGTTATAATCACACTATACAGGCTCGTATAGCCAGCCTTATTATTGGGGGGGGAGGGGGTTCGTTTTTCAATGTTGCCCAATTAGCTCTGCCGGGGCGTCGTACAGGATTTGCTACCAGGGCGGTGAGTCTATAACCTGGTACCCAAAGCTTGCGAGCACGCCGAAGGGGGTCTGGGGATCAAAAAATTTTAAAATTAGCACCCCTCAGATGCGTTTTCTGCGCGAGCAAGGCGGGCGTCCGGACCTGCCCTGGAGCTGATAGGAGTCTACTCCGTCCCTCGGCCCGGTACATGCCGGAACGTACCCTAGAAGCGTACGGTCCGGATACCGGCAACGCTAACCTTGTATTACTATCACTATAGCGCGCCGACCGTACCTCCGCCTAACTCCACTAAACGAGTCTAGCCGCGCAGTCGCTACGCCTACTCCCTAAACCGAACCCTAACCCTAACCCTGAATCCTAAACCCTAACCATATCCAAAAAAGTGACCAGGGTACGTTCCGCCAGTTACCCTGGGGGACATAGACGCCTCAATATGACGGACCTCCCTGGACCCTCCCCCCCCCCCTGTATCACGCCCCCTGCTCAGCGGGCGCGAAGCGACCAGACGCCACGGGGTAGCAAAAGCGATCCAGCGAGGGAGACGGGTGTGGCGACAGGCGGGCCTGTTCACTGTTCACAGTTCACCCCTCCCGCACGATGGAGATTTGCAATTATTACACTAAAATGGAGCGACCTTGAGGTGCAATATTCTACTCTGCAAATTTTTATGCTTGCGGGGCAGCAGGCGCTTCGTTCGCAACCCCGAACCCCCCCTGGCTACGGGCCTGCATCTATATTATATGTTGCCATAGATCGATCATCTATGTATGATGACTGTTAATGCAAATATCACGCAGCGATTCGGCTGCACGTGAGTTTTATCAAGCTGTTGCTCCTGGTAAGATCCGGACATGCTCAAACTTCATGTCCGGTCTTGTGATCTTTTCCTACCTAGCGGCCTTTGACCACTAGTTTTCATCGTCAGAAGTGATTCCTCGTTTCAACAGTAAACATAACGTCTGAAAAAAATGAAGCCCTAGTTTGCGCTCGGGGGAGTGGAGAGAGTGCGAGAGGGGTGGAGCGTGAGAGAGAAGAGAGAGATAATAGAGAGAGAGAGAGAGAGAGCGAGAGAGAGAGAAAAAGAAAATTAAGCAGCTTGCAAGAGCATTTTGTCATGTTTACGTATAATTCTCCCAATATCCCGTCTTTAAATCAATAAATCAATAAATATCTTAATAAATGAACCTACACTGCCATCTATGTTCAATCATGCGAAATACCCTTTCTTCATTTGCGAGTAATATTACATTTGGCTCTTAATCTTTTACTATCTTTTAAACAGAACTCCTACAATAATTATTTCAGAAATGTTAAACATAAAATATAGACCTGATTAAAAGGATATAAAATATTTAGACGTACCCCAAAGGTCGGCTATATTTATCGATTTTCTGTGCCTGGAAAACCGGCTCCGTTAACGAGTTTGTTTACAAAATGATCGTCCCAGAAAAACGACAGCTAAAACAAAGGCCAAAAGCAATATTACCCCAGACGCTGCTAGCAGTAGGAGCAACCTAAAGCAGCAAAGATGGTGAAAATGCAGATTGTCATTCTCGTGAGTTTTATTGTTGTTTCGGCGTTGCTCAGTCGGGTGGACAGTGTTGCTGCGATAGACGATCAAACGGGGAACATTGACGCGCGTGAGTCGCCATGCTGTACGAATATGTTTACGGTGGAACAATACAATGGCACTTACACGCGGTACTGCCTCTTGCTGCAAGCCGAAATTTTATTTGACATCCCGTACAAGGTCACGGACAGTGTCGTCGCTAGAGCGCTGATCAAGCTTCCGGCAAACACGACCGACTACAGCGGCGTCTGCGGTGACGACGCAAACGACATCAGCGTCAGATTCTTCGACGGCTGGCAGCTGGACCTGACCTTCAGCCGACCTCCAGACGCCTCTTCTGATCGTCGGAATGCGTCGGCAGCTCTCAGCGATGCATCTCTGCGGTACATCGTCACTGAGGAGCTGTTCCTCGCTGCTGACGACTCTATAGTCGGCAACAACGTAAACTATGGTTTATAGTACACGCACGCACATGCATGCACGCACACACACACACATATATATATATATATATATATATATATATACATACATATAGTGTTGTAATTTGGACGTGTAAACTATATAGTACATTGTCTATTATCGTAATTTTGACATACGTCTATTTACACATGTTTATGTTTAAACTGCAATTAAATATGCATCGTGTTATCGAAACCTATGTTTTGACGATTATTTACATCCATCGATATACAGCTTGTGAGCGGACATACGTGTACGAACACACGTATACCTCGACGGACGTAGAAATAACTCGTGTATATTTCGTCCGCAGGTCATCGTAGAGAATGACGATCTGCACGAGTACGAAGCGAAGAGCGGGACGTCGTATCGCTGCGATGCGGAGCAGCGGATGAAGCTGACAGGAGAAGTGTACATCATCACACGCAGCCTCCGCGCGCAAGCCTTCAGCAACGCCGACACCGCAAGCTTCGCAGCCGCGTCGCAGCGATGCGCGGCGGACAAGAACGAGAGTCAGCTGTTTCCGATAATCATCGGCGGTTCGATCGTAGCGCTCATCACGCTTATTGTCGTCATGTTCTTCATTCAGCGTAAGAACAGAAGAGCCAGAAGAGAAGGTTATGTCAGAGTCTAGCCATCGGAATGTTGGCAATGACACCTCTAGCTGCAGCTCTGGCGTAGCTAAGATTTTTTCCGCGGGGGGGGGGCACTGGGGTGGCCTTACATTTTCGTGGTGGGCACAATATATAACTTTTCTTTGTATTATACTGTTCTAACGGCATTGTTTTTAATTCAATTTTCTTTTATCAAGCATGAATTTTCAGTGAGGGGGTCACATGGGGGGGCACAGAAAATTTGTGGGGGGCACCCACCAGGCCCCCCCGTAGCTACGCCCCTGCTGCAGCTCGCATGTGTGACTCGCACTCAGCATGTCATACCAAAGACCCTATATACGATAGTATTATACTATATTATTATAATAATACAGTAGATAGCATATAGGGTCTTTGGTCGTACCGAGAATACCCGATCCAAATAATCAATTAATTCATCTAAGCTCCACGTACGTGACATGCACTGATTGTTCATCCTAGCTCTGAACTTGGTCAAAACATTCAATTGCGAACAAGTTGTGTAGATCTGCTTATATAAATGTCTTCTATGTTGCACCATTTTGGCTTGTAACTGCAGGGGCGTAGATAGCGGGCCGGCTGGGGGGGGGTGCTTCCCCCCCACTTATTGACATGGGGGGATGGCGTGTACAATCATCCCCTCTACTTTCAGGAGGAAAATAGGGGATTCAAAATTTCTGGGGAGGACCGCATAGCCCCGCCTGTTTTCTTACCACCCTCCTCGAAAACCGGCATTGGCCACTGTCGAGCGCGTAACAAAAAAAAATCGGTCGCGGGCACCTGTAGAGTTCTGCTAACAAAGATTATGAATATTTTTATGCATATCAGAAGTCAAATTTGAGTTCATCTGACAGGGGCGTAGATAGCGGGTGTATGGGTATTTCCCCCCACACTTATTGAGGTGGGGTGGCTTTCATCCCCCTACTTCAGGAGGCAAAATCGGAATTTTTTTTTAATATTTTACAGGACAATGAATACTGGATATTTATCTACGCGAATCTGTCATCGCTATTCATACTCTTCTAATGTATTATTACAGAAATGGAACGTGACATACATCTACTGCGTAAAATGGCTGTAACTCGTTCCAAGATGACATATATTTTTACTGAAACTCGGATCGGTTAATTTTGGACACATACGCCCATATACGATTTTTTTTTCAAAATCCCCAAATCACGTCGTCTATCACTGCTCACGAAAGGTTAAATCTTTGCTTTTATTCAAAATTAGAATAGACCTATTGAGAGTTGGCGATGCCCTGAATTTTCACGGGGAATTGAAATGGCGAAAATTCAATTTTATCTCCATTTGTTCGCGAATGGTGAGGTGCTGAGACCCACCGAAGTTATATTCCAGATTTTGTACAAGGCGGGTGAAAATACATGCAGTTTTTGGTTCAAATATGGTTGTTTTTTCTCTTCTTTTTTTGCAGTTTTACCGGTTCTCAGCGTAAAATATACGTTTTATCAAAATTTCAGGCGGAGATGATTCCGTGCTGTAGTTGTCAACAGGCGCGTCGGTAGCGACGGGCCGCTGTCGCCCCCCCCCCCATATTTAGGTATTTTAGCTGAGCGTAATTAAGTCTAGCACCTGCGTACCCCAGTGAGCGACACTGGTAAGTAGCACAGATTTGTACAGTAGTATTTTGTCTTTGGCTGTCCCCAAGGCTAACAAATACTGCAAACTCACAGTGATGGTTATTACTGGTGAAGATTGTTTAATAGTGCTGCCTCAGTAGCTGCCAGGAAATTGCTCGCATGAGGTCGTTACTGTTCAACAAGAATTTCACGCCTGGACGTCCCCGAACACCCGCCCCCCCCCCTAAACAGCGTGGCCGGACACCAACCATGAACGCACGCGACCAAAAATCCTGATATTCTATGATAAAGATGTCCAAAATTTATTGCTTTTAGATTGCAACTTTTTAACATTTCCACACATTTATAACATTATATTTATATTTTGGTGTATCACTCTGTTCATGCTCATTCTCATTGTGAACATTTTAAGCAGAGGAGCTGTATTTTTTAGTTTTTAATAACTATACACCTGTATTAAATTTTAAATTGTATTTTAAATAGACATTAAATTTGCAGGGTATTGAAATTACATTGTGATGATCGTGTATGGTGCTTGCTTGAAAATGCCAAACGGGTACATAGCCGTAGTATCGAGTAGTAGTCGTCGTGTAGACGAGGCCTTTTTGCCTTTATTTCTCTTATCTCATGTTTATGATGGAGGCTAATCTACAGTTGTGAAACGTTTCTGTCATGAAGTCGTGGCGTGTGTATTTACGGTTGAGGCTGACTTTAACTCTGTAAAACCTGCCAATTTATATTCTGTAACAAATAAAGATTAAAGGTTATGGTAAGAAATGAACCGTTTTTTTATTATTAATAATATTATTAATTACGAGTACATGTGGGCAGGTGAACATGTGTCAATTTCAAAGCAAGGAGTTGTACATAAAAAGATCTTTAATGATTTTTACTATCATTTTAATCGTATTAGTATAAGTTATATCACATATACAGGCTCGTATAGCCAGCTTTATATTGTGGGGGGGGGGGTTCGTTTTTCAATGTTGGCAATTTGCTCGGCAGGGGCGTGTACAGGATTTGTACCAGGGGTGAGTCTATAACCGTAACCCAAAGTTGCGAGCACGCGAAGGGGGGGTCTGGGGATAAAAAATTTTAAAATTAGACCCCCTCAGATGCGTTTTCTGCGCGAGCAAGGGGGGGTCCGGACTCCCTGGAGCTGATAGGGTCTATGTCCCTCGGGGTACTGCCGGAACGTACCCTGGGTACGGTCCGGTATACCGGAACGTACCTTGGTATACTATATTATATGCCGGACCGTACCTCGCCTACTCCACTAACGAGTCTAGGGAGTCGCCTACGCCTACTCCCTAACCCGAACCCTAACCCTAACCCTAATCCTAACCCTAACCATATCAAAAAGTGACCAGGGTACGTTCCGGCAGTACCCTGGGGGACATAGACCCTATATGAGCCTCCCTGGACCCCTCCCCCCCCTGTACACGCCCCTGCTCGGGCGCGAAGCGACCAGGCGAGGGAGCAAAGCGACCGAGCGGGGGGAGGGTGTGGGAGGGGGGTGTTCACTGTTCACAGTTCACCCTCCCGCACGATGGAGATTTTGCAATTATTACACTAAAATGGAGCGACCTGAGGTGAAATTCTTGCAAATTTTGTTAATGCCAAATATCACGCAGCGATTCGGCCTGCACGGTGAGTTTTATCAAGTTTGCTCCTG